CCATCCATCTATCCACCCACCCACCCAACCAGGAGGATCCTGATTCAACATGAAAGAGGAGCGGCCCTACTCTGAGCTCCCTCCTGTATCTCAAACTCTTACACGCTGGAGCTTTGAGCTGCTTTACACACTGAGATAAAACAACGTTCATGCAGCTTCAACATTTTAACATGATCTATATACAGTCTCATCCAAAAACTGTGTCAGACCCAAACAGTCATATTGTTGTTATAAACATATTCTGTCATCACAGACGAGGTTACACAGTCAAAGGATGCATTTATTATTTTTCCGTGTCTGTCTGATGGTTGAGGAAATTATTAAAACAACTGCAGCCTTTAAATCTGTGCCTCACATACAGATTCTCAGAACACAATCAGAGGACAAACACAAAGACGTGGATATTAAAGGAAGAGGAAATTGTTCCAAAGCACCTGACCAGTCAGAAATAAACTGTCTGACAAACACAGGAAATGAGTCCAACAATAAGGCTTCAGCAGCTCAGAGCAAATAACCACCAGCACCACACGCCGCCGTGACCAACTTTGAAGAGGAGCCGCGACTGTCAGCGTCTGAACGGCAGGAAATACAGCAAATAAATAAAGGTCGTTGTTTGTGACCTCTGACCTATGACCTTGTGGTTACAGTGACTAAATAAAGGTCGATGTTTGTGACCTCTGACCTTTGACCCTGCTGTTACAGTGACTAAATAAAGGTTGATGTTTGTGACCTCTGACCTATGACCCTGCTGTTAAAGTGACTAAATAAAGGTTGATGTTTGTGACCTCTGACCTATGACCCTGCTGTTAAAGTGACTAAATAAAGGTCGTTGTTTGTGACCTCTGACCTATGACCTTGTGGTTACAGTGACTAAATAAAGGTCGTTGTTTGTGACCTCTGACCTATGACCTTGTGGTTACAGTGACTAAATAAAGGTCGTTGTTTGTGACCTCTGACCTATGACCTTGTGGTTACAGTGACTAAATAAAGGTCGTTGTTTGTGACCTCTGACCTATGACCTTGTGGTTACAGTGACTAAATAAAGGTCGTTGTTTGTGACCTCTGACCTATGACCTTGTGGTTACAGTGACTAAATAAAGGTCGTTGTTTGTGACCTCTGACCTATGACCTTGTGGTTACAGTGACTAAATAAAGGTCGTTGTTTGTGACCTCTGACCTATGACCTTGTGGTTACAGTGACTAAATAAAGGTCGATGTTTGTGACCTCTGACCTATGACCCTGCTGTTACAGTGACTAAATAAAGGTTGATGTTTGTGACCTCTGACCTATGACCCTGCTGTTAAAGTGACTAAATAAAGGTTGATGTTTGTGACCTCTGACCTATGACCCTGCTGTTACAGTGACTAAATAAAGGTCGTTGTTTGTGACCTCTGACCTATGACCTTGTGGTTACAGTGACTAAATAAAGGTCGTTGTTTGTGACCTCTGACCTATGACCTTGTGGTTACAGTGACTAAATAAAGGTCGTTGTTTGTGACCTCTGACCTATGACCTTGTGGTTACAGTGACTAAATAAAGGTCGTTGTTTGTGACCTCTGACCTATGACCTTGTGGTTACAGTGACTAAATAAAGGTCGTTGTTTGTGACCTCTGACCTATGACCTTGTGGTTACAGTGACTAAATAAAGGTCGTTGTTTGTGACCTCTGACCTATGACCTTGTGGTTACAGTGACTAAATAAAGGTCGTTGTTTGTGACCTCTGACCTATGACCTTGTGGTTACAGTGACTAAATAAAGGTCGTTGTTTGTGACCTCTGACCTATGACCTTGTGGTTACAGTGACTAAATAAAGGTCGATGTTTGTGACCTCTGACCTATGACCCTGCTGTTACAGTGACTAAATAAAGGTTGATGTTTGTGACCTCTGACCTATGACCCTGCTGTTAAAGTGACTAAATAAAGGTTGATGTTTGTGACCTCTGACCTATGACCCTGCTGTTACAGTGACTAAATAAAGGTCGTTGTTTGTGACCTCTGACCTATGACCTTGTGGTTACAGTGACTAAATAAAGGTCGTTGTTTGTGACCTCTGACCTATGACCTTGTGGTTACAGTGACTAAATAAAGGTCGTTGTTTGTGACCTCTGACCTATGACCTTGTGGTTACAGTGACTAAATAAAGGTCGTTGTTTGTGACCTCTGACCTATGACCTTGTGGTTACAGTGACTAAATAAAGGTCGTTGTTTGTGACCTCTGACCTATGACCTTGTGGTTACAGTGACTAAATAAAGGTCGTTGTTTGTGACCTCTGACCTATGACCTTGTGGTTACAGTGACTAAATAAAGGTCGTTGTTTGTGACCTCTGACCTATGACCTTGTGGTTACAGTGACTAAATAAAGGTCGTTGTTTGTGACCTCTGACCTATGACCTTGTGGTTACAGTGACTAAATAAAGGTCGTTGTTTGTGACCTCTGACCTATGACCTTGTGGTTACAGTGACTAAATAAAGGTCGTTGTTTGTGACCTCTGACCTATGACCTTGTGGTTACAGTGACTAAATAAAGGTCGTTGTTTGTGACCTCTGACCTATGACCTTGTGGTTACAGTGACTAAATAAAGGTCGATGTTTGTGACCTCTGACCTATGACCCTGCTGTTACAGTGACTAAATAAAGGTTGATGTTTGTGACCTCTGACCTTTGACCCTGCTGTTAAAGTGACTAAATAAAGGTTGATGTTTGTGACCTCTGACCTATGACCCTGCTGTTAAAGTGACTAAATAAAGGTTGATGTTTGTGACCTCTGACCTATGACCCTGCTGTTAAAGTGACTAAATAAATGTCGTTGTTTGTGACCTCTGACCTATGACCTTGTGGTTACAGTGACTAAATAAAGGTCGTTGTTTGTGACCTCTGACCTATGACCTTGTGGTTACAGTGACTAAATAAAGGTCGTTGTTTGTGACCTCTGACCTATGACCTTGTGGTTACAGTGACTAAATAAAGGTCGTTGTTTGTGACCTCTGACCTATGACCTTGTGGTTACAGTGACTAAATAAAGGTCGTTGTTTGTGACCTCTGACCTATGACCTTGTGGTTACAGTGACTAAATAAAGGTCGTTGTTTGTGACCTCTGACCTATGACCTTGTGGTTACAGTGACTAAATAAAGGTCGTTGTTTGTGACCTCTGACCTATGACCTTGTGGTTACAGTGACTAAATAAAGGTCGTTGTTTGTGACCTCTGACCTATGACCTTGTGGTTACAGTGACTAAATAAAGGTCGTTGTTTGTGACCTCTGACCTATGACCTTGTGGTTACAGTGACTAAATAAAGGTCGTTGTTTGTGACCTCTGACCTATGACCTTGTGGTTACAGTGACTAAATAAAGGTCGATGTTTGTGACCTCTGACCTATGACCCTGCTGTTACAGTGACTAAATAAAGGTTGATGTTTGTGACCTCTGACCTATGACCCTGCTGTTAAAGTGACTAAATAAAGGTTGATGTTTGTGACCTCTGACCTATGACCCTGCTGTTAAAGTGACTAAATAAAGGTTGATGTTTGTGACCTCTGACCTTTGACCCTGCTGTTAAAGTGACTAAATAAAGGTTGATGTTTGTGACCTCTGACCTTTGACCCTGCTGTTAAAGTGACTAAATAAAGGTTGATGTTTGTGACCTCTGACCTATGACCCTGCTGTTAAAGTGACTAAATAAAGGTTGATGTTTGTGACCTCTGACCTATGACCCTGCTGTTAAAGTGACTAAATAAAGGTTGATGTTTGTGACCTCTGACCTTTGACCCTGCTGTTAAAGTGACTAAATAAAGGTTGATGTTTGTGACCTCTGACCCTGTGGTTACAGTGACTAAATAACGGTTGTTGTTTGTGACCTATGACCTATGACCTTGTGGTTAAAGTGACTAAATAAAGGTCGTTGTTTGTGACCTCTGACCTATGACCCTGTGGTTACAGTGACTAAATAAAGGTCGTTGTTTGTGACCTCTGACCTATGACCCTGTGGTTACAGTGACTAAATAAAGGTCGTTGTTTGTGACCTCTGACCTATGACCCTGTGGTTACAGTGACTAAATAAAGGTTGTTGTTTGTGACCTCTGACCTATGACCCTGTGGTTACAGTCACTAAATAAAGGTCGTTGTTTGTGACCTCTCACCTATGACCCTGCGGTTGAAGTAGTCAGGTAACATCCTCTCACAAACAGCCACCAGCAGCCAGAAAGCTTCTTCTTCTTTAGCGTAGAGCAGCAGCACTGATGCCAGGATGTTCATCGACTGGACAGAAGAACAGGAAACAGTCAGACGCTGTTTAACAACAGCTGAGAATAAATTGCCTCCAGATATTCCAGATGTTCAGTCACAGTTAATCCAGGTTGGTACTGTTAAATGATGCACAGCAGGGTCATCACACAGTCTTTCACAGTGTTCATTAAAACAGATATAAACTGCAAAAATAGAAAAATACCCGTGCACAGCTGAAGTTAAGGTGCTGGTACTGTGGCAAAAGTATAAACGTGTCAAGAAAAAAAACACATACGTTATGGCTACATACCGCACACCACACAGAACTTTGAAAGAGGATCAAGAATTTAATAGAGCAACACGTTTCGCTTACAGCTTGAGCCTGACTCTTTCAAAGTCCTGTCTGGTGTGCGGCATGTAGCCACAACATATGTGGTTTTTTTCTTTACACAGATGTAAGCTGCAGTTTTAACACATTTCAAAGTTCTCTTATTTCCACATTTGGTCGTTACATGATAACGTCACGATCAAATTTCAAAATAAAATTGATGAATCATTTTCAAATGTCTCTAATTTACTTCACTGTATTAATTAAGTCAGTGATTGGCAGTGTGCCCCCTCACAGGAAAAGCATTTGCAGAGCAGCAGCCTGAGACACTGAAGTACAAGAACTACTACTGCTACAGCTACAACTAACACAACTGCTGCGATGACATGCTATACTATGACGTTTTTTCCCATGATTTTGGACGACATGCTATACTATGACGTTTTTTCCC